AGCCCCGGTGTTGGTGAGGAGCCCGGTGTTGGTGAGGAGCCCCGGTGTTGGTGAGGGGCCCCGGTGTTGGTGAGGAGCCCCGGTGGTGGTGAGGAGCCCCGGTGTTGGTGAGGAGCCCCGGTGTTGGTGAGGAGCCCGGTGTTGGTGAGGAGCCCCGGTGTTGGTGAGGAGCCCCTGGTGGTGGTGAGGAGCCCCGGTGTTGGTGAGGAGCCCCGGTGTTGGTGAGGAGCCCCGGTGTTGGTGAGGAGCCCCGGTGGTGGTGAGGAGCCCCGGTGTTGGTGAGGAGCCCCCGGTGTTGGTGAGGAGCCCCGGTGTTGGTGAGGAGCCCCGGTGTTGGTGAGGAGCCTCGGTGTTGGTGAGGAGCCTCGGTGTTGGTGAGGAGCCCCCGGTGTTGGTGAGGAGCCCCGGTGTTGGTGAGGAGCCCCCGGTGTTGGTGAGGAGCCCCGGTGTTGGTGAGGAGCCTCGGTGTTGGTGAGGAGCCCCGGTGTTGGTGAGGAGCCCCCGGTGGTGGTGAGGAGCCCCGGTGGTGGTGAGGGGCCCCGGTGTTGGTGAGGAGCCCCCGGTGTTGGTGAGGAGCCCCGGTGGTGGTGAGGAGCCCCGGTGTTGGTGAGGAGCCCCGGTGTTGGTGAGGAGCCCCCGGTGGTGGTGAGGAGCCCCGGTGTTGGTGAGGAGCCCCCGGTGTTGGTGAGGAGCCCCCGGTGTTGGTGAGGAGCCCCCGGTGGTGGTGAGGAGCCCCGGTGGTGGTGAGGGGCCCCGGTGTTGGTGAGGGGCCCCCGGTGTTGGTGAGGAGCCCCGGTGTTGGTGAGGAGCCCCCGGTGTTGGTGAGGAGCCCCGGTGGTGGTGAGGAGCCCCGGTGGTGGTGAGGAGCCCCGGTGGTGGTGAGGGCCCCCGGTGTTGGTGAGGAGCCCCCGGTGGTGGTGAGGAGCCCCGGTGGTGGTGAGGGGCCCCGGTGTTGGTGAGGAGCCCCCGGTGGTGGTGAGGAGCCCCGGTGGTGGTGAGGAGCCCCGGTGGTGGTGAGGGCCCCGGTGTTGGTGAGGAGCCCCTGGTGGTGGTGAGGGCCCCCGGTGGTGGTGAGGAGCCCCGGTGGTGGTGAGGGCCCCGGTGTGGTGAGGAGCCCCCGGTGGTGGTGAGGAGCCCCCGGTGGTGGTGAGGAGCCCCGGTGGTGGTGAGGGGCCCCGGTGTTGGTGAGGGGCCCCGGTGTTGGTGAGGGGCCCCGGTGTTGGTGAGGAGCCCCCGGTGTTGGTGAGGAGCCCCCGGTGTTGGTGAGGAGCCCCCGGTGGTGGTGAGGAGCCCCGGTGGTGGTGAGGGGCCCCGGTGTTGGTGAGGGCCCCCGGTGGTGGTGAGGAGCCCCCGGTGGTGGTGAGGGGCCCCGGTGTTGGTGAGGGGCCCCGGTGTTGGTGAGGAGCCCCCGGTGGTGGTGAGGAGCCCCGGTGGTGGTGAGGGGCCCCGGTGTGGTGAGGGGCCCCGGTGGTGGTGAGGAGCCCCCCGGTGGTGGTGAGGGGCCCCGGTGGTGGTGAGGGGGTGGGATTTAAAAGGGACTCGCCTAGTGTGGGCCAACAGGCCTGCCTTCGGTACTAATATATATGGGGCTTAGGAGCTGAAGCCCAGCCTGCTAACACACAAGGCAAGGTCTCCAACACAGACCTTAGCAAGGTCACCGTCAGAACAATTACCAGCAAGCGCTCTACCTCTACGAGCGACGGTCTGGCGTCATGCAGGTCGGCGTTCAATCCCCGACCGTCCAAGTGGTTGGACACCATTCCTTTCCCCCCGTCCCATCCCAAGTCCTTATCCTGATCCCTTCCAAGTGCTATATAGTCGTAATGGCTTGGCGCTTTCTCCCTGATAGTTAACAACAACATTGGCTGATCTTACAAAATAATAACATCAGATGATTAGGCAAAACAGCAATAATATCAGACTATCAATAGTCAATTGATAGTCAATAAATTGATTATTGTTAATGTCTTGGTCAATAATATATAGTTATCAGCTGGTTATCTTAACTGATTGTCTCCACGAGTTCATCATCAGCTGATGGTCCCAATAACCAAGTTAGTATCATCTTAATTCAATTTATATTACCGGCGCTTAATGGGTTGCTCACTTAATTGGTCATTACAGTGAGCAACTACCCAACCATTAGTCTATTACACCTAATAGCCAATCAGCCCCCTCGGACCAGTAGTGTTCGTGTCAGGTCTCGACCAATTGATCTGGAGGTCACCATGTTGACCCCAGCAGCTGACCCCTGAGAGGTCAACGACCGTAATTAGCCCATTTACCTCGCTAATGGGAACGTTGGCAGATGATAAGATAATAGAGCGGCTTGACCACCTTATATACCTTGTATATACATAAAACAGATTGCCCGTCTATCTGTCTGTCTGTTCGAGGTTAGAGGCCAGATGCTTACGGCTAGTCGCACTAAACTTTGGACAGGATTATTGATGAGTTTACCAAGAGTGTCATATGGGGGTCGAGGTCGCCCCAGTGTCCCTCTGATGGGCGGTCACGAACATCGAGGTTCGTGGATGTGAAATGTTCAGCTCCAGGTCCATAGACTTTAGCATTAGTCTAATGAATTCAGATATTAATTTTCAAACATATTCAAATGAGAGATTTGCACTCTGAGCACAAAGTTATGGTTGCGGCGAGCGGGGGGACGGAAGCGTGTTGGGAGGGAGAACAGAGATGGGGGCAGAGCATGTGTGGGCAGGGAGGGAGGGAGGGAGGAGACAAGGAGGGAGAGGCCAGCTGTGTAATGGGAAGGAGAAGATGTAGGAGAACATGGCGAGGGTTGGCGGAGTGATATGGAGAAGTTATGTTGTGGGACGCTCAGGGTGTCTTGTGATGTGTTGTGATGGGTGTGTTGTGATGTGTTGTGATGGGTGTGTTGTGATGTGTTGTGATGGGTGTGTTGTGATGTGTTGTTGTGTTGTGATGTGTTGTGATGGGTGTGTTGTGATGTGTTGTGATGGGTGTGCGGTGTAGATGGTGTGAACATGTTTACATTGATGAAGATGCCACTGAAGATTGTTACAGCAAGGTGGGAAGGATGGGGCAGGTGTGAGTGAATGTGAAGATGAGGAGGATGTGTGGGGGAGCCCTCACTACCATGTCTACCCGGGCACCGCTGGCTACCCCCATCTAGTATATATGTACACACACACACACACACACACACACACACACACACACACACACACACACACACACACACACACACACACACACACACACACACACATCTCCCGGAGGGTACAGATTCATCCCAAAATTATGAGAAGGATTAGGACAGAGGAGGACTGCTTGAGACTTCAAGAAGACCTAGACAAGCTGAAGGAATGGTCAAACAAATGGTTGTTAGAATTTAACCCAAGCAAATGTAATGTAATGAAGATAGGTGTAGGGAGCAGAAGACCAGATACAAGGTATCATCTGGGAGATGAAATACTTCAAGAGACAGAGAAGGAAAAAGACTTGGGGGTTGATATCACGCCAGACCTGTCTCCTGCAGCACATATCAAGAGGATAACATCAGCGGTATATGCCAGGCTGGCCAACATAAGAACGGCATTCAGAAACTTGTGTAAGGAATCATTCAGAACTTTGTATACCACATATGTCAGGCCAATCCTGGAGTATGCAGCCCCAGCATGGAGTCCATATCTAGTCAAGGATAAGACTAAACTGGAAAAGGCTCAAAGGTTTGCCACCAGACTAGTACCCGAGCTGAGAGGTATGAGCTACGAGGAGAGACTATGGGAATTAAACCTCACTTCGCTGGAAGACAGAAGAGTTAGGGGGGACATGATCACCACATTCAAGATTCTCAAGGGAATTGATAGGGTAGATAAAGACAGTCTATTTAACACAAGGGGCACACGCACTAGGGGACACAGGTGGAAACTGAGTGTCCAAATGAGCCACAGAGATATTAGAAAGAACTTTTTTTAGTGTCAGAGTGGTTGACAAATGGAATGCATTAGGCAGTGATGTGGTGGAGGCTGACTCCATACACAGCTTCAAGTGTAGATATGATAGAGCCCAATAGGCTCAGGAATCTGTACACCTGTTGATTGACGGTTGAGAGGCGGGACCAAAGAGCCAGAGCTCAACCCCATATACTCAACCCATAGCTCATATATATATATATATATATATATATATATATATATATATATATATATATATATATATATATATATATATATATATATATATATATATATATATATGAAGAATGCAAATCTTCAATAAACAGTGAAGACACAACTGGCTACCTCACACTGCCAGTGTTGCCAACCTCAGAGGCCACAACACACCCCCCCCCCCCCCCCCCGCCTTCACTAGACACGAGGGCAGGTCGCCCCATCACGAGCACCTTACACCTTAATGCAACAAGTGCGCAGACAAACATGTGTATGGACACACCTGTTGATACCTGCACACACAAGTGAGTTACCTTCATAACTTAATCTTGAGGCACGCGAACTTGCACCTCTAATTCAAAGCCCACACTTGCCCTAAACGCTGTGTGTTAGTGGCTCTCCACGAATGTAAAAATACCTATTTTATGTAATCTTACTAACCCATTGTACCTTCTTGTGAATAACTTATTATTATTATTACATAAGTACATACGCCCCCTCATTTTACCTATTAAATGCTCCATACATGACTACCTCACGACCCCACATGTCTACCTCACGACCCTCCTTCCCCATGTCCACCTCAGGCCTACCTCACAAACCCCATCATCATTCCCTTCAAGCAGGGCGCCAAAGGGTGATACTTTGATATCTGACTAAATTATCATTCTTTGGCGTCCGGCTTGGAGAATGGATGTGAGCTGCGCCCGGCTTGGAGAGTGGCTCTGAGGTGCGTCAGGCGGGCAGTGTGGATGTGAGCTGAGTCTGGAGGGAAGAGTGGATGTGAGCTGTGTCCGGCGGGGAGAGTGGATGTGAGCCGTGTCCGGCGGGGAGAGTGGATGTGAGCTATGTCTGGCGGGGAGAGTGGATGTGAGCTGTGTCCGGCAGGGAGAGTGGATGTGAGCTGCGTCCGGCGGGGAGAGTGGATGTGAGCTGTGTCTGGCGGGGAGAGTGGATGTGAGCTGTGTCCGGCGGGGAGAGTGGATGTGAGCTGTGTCTGGCGGGGAGAGTGGATGTGAGCTGCGTCCGGCGGGGAGAGTGGATGTGAGCTGTGTCTGGCGGGGAGAGTGGATGTGAGCTGTGTCCGGCGGGGAGAGTGGATGTGAGCTGTGTCTGGCGGGGAGAGTGGATGTGAGCTGTGTCTGGCGGGGAGAGTGGATGTGAGCTGTGTCTGGCGGGGAGAGTGGATGTGAGCTGCGTCCGGCGGGGAGAGTGGATGTGAGCTGTGTCCGGCGGGGAGAGTGGATGTGAGCTGTGTCTGGCGGGGAGAGTGGATGTGAGCTGCGTCCGGCGGGGAGAGTGGATGTGAGCTGCGTCCGGCGGGGAGAGTGGATGTGAGCTGTGTCTGGCGGGGAGAGTGGATGTGAGCCGTGTCCGGCGGGGAGAGTGGATGTGAGCTGTGTCTGGCGGGGAGAGTGGATGTGAGATGTGTCTGGCGGGGAGAGTGGATGTGAGCTGCGTCCGGCGGGGAGAGTGGATGTGAGCTGTGTCCGGCGGGGAGAGTGGATGTGAGCTGTGTCTGGCGGGGAGAGTGGATGTGAGCTGTGTCTGGCGGGGAGAGTGGATGTGAGCTGTGTCTGGCGGGGAGAGTGGATGTGAGCTGTGTCTGGATGTGTCTGGCGGGGAGAGTGGATGTGAGCTGCGTCCGGCGGGGAGAGTGGGTGTGAGCTGCGTCCGGCGGGGAGAGTGGATGTGAGCTGTGTCTGGCGGGGAGAGTGGATGTGAGCTGCGTCCGGCGGGGAGAGTGGGTGTGAGCTGCGTCCGGCGGGGAGAGTGGATGTGAGCTGCGTCCGGCGGGGAGAGTGGATGTGAGCTGCGTCCGGCGGGGAGAGTGGATGTGAGCTGCGTCCGGCGGGGAGAGTGGATGTGAGCTGCGTCCGGCGGGGAGAGTGGATGTGAGCTGCGTCCGGCGGGGAGAGTGGATGTGAGCTGTGTCTGGCGGGGAGAGTGGATGTGAGCTGTGTCTGGCGGGGAGAGTGGATGTGAGCTGCGTCCGGCGGGGAGAGTGGATGTGAGCTGTGTCTGGCGGGGAGAGTGGATGTGAGCTGTGTCTGGCGGGGAGAGTGGATGTGAGCTGTGTCCGGCGGGGAGAGTGGATGTGAGCTGTGTCCGGCGGGGAGAGTGGATGTGAGCTGTGTCCGGCGGGGAGAGTGGAGTCATTATCTTGCTTTACCACAACATTCAAAATAGGGGGTACTAAAATACGTTAGTACTTTGGATACTAAAGTAACCTAACTACTCACAGAACCTAACTAACATATGCATAGGAAATGTGGATATTTGAGCCACTGCTTTGATAGTGCACCTCATTTTGTACGTCTGGGACAATAGCATACAAAATGAGTTGCATACAATAGCATACAATTATTGGGTAGTTTATTAAGACAACCGGCGCCATTACCAGTGTGGCCGCACCACTGTGGCGGGGAGGTGCTCTTTCCACTCATATATTGGTACAGTGTGCTATACGTAGCTTAGGATCTTATGGAATTACAAACACGTACGCGCGCGCGCATACACACACACACGCACAAAAGGTACCATTTGGGAGATGAAATTCTTCAAGAGTCGGAGAGAGAGAAAGACTTGGGGTTGATATCACGCCAGACCTGTCCCCTGCAGCCCACAGTATCCTACTACAACAAGGTGAGTACAGAGACATGTCCTCGCGGCCGAGTGGACGGCGCTCACAGTTGGTAGTCCTAAATGGCTGGGTTCAGAGCTGATGCCCCTGTTCACCTAGCAGCAAATGGGTACCTGGGAGTTAGACAGCCGGTACGGGCATCTTCCTGCTGATGTGTATAAATGTGACAGAAAAATATGTAGTAGACGTGAAAATTAGGTCCGAAGTCATTATACCAGACAGCCGATTGTTAGTAAGGCGGGGCCCAAGAGCTAACAGCTCCACTCTGCAGGCACAAATAGTACATACACATAGTGAAACAAATAATAAATACAAACACAGAGCTCGGTGTCTTGCTCTATGACAATAGGGAGGTCAAAGTTAGGTGGTGGAGAGAGGCGCCTCGGCCACCATCCCTCACTGTGTGTGTGTGTGTGTGTGTGTGTGTGTGTGTGTGTGTGTGTGTGTGTGTGTGTGTGTGTGTGTGTGTGTGTGTGCGTGCTCCCAGCGTGGACACCCGCCGTCTGAGTGCCTGCACTCACCTAGTGCCACTCGGCTAGTTGTGCTGCACGCTTCACCATGTGCTCTCAAGCCTCGCCTTTCCACCATCATTACTTCAACCCAGTGGCTCTTTTCACACTTTATTTTTCACATTATTTTTATTTATTTTATTCATTTTTGTATTTATTATTATATATGTCGTACCTAGTAGCCAGAACGCACTTTTTGGACTACTATACAAGGCCCGATTTGCCTAATAAGCCAAGTTTTCCTGAATTAATATGTTTTCTCTAATTTTTTTCTTATGAAATGATAAAGCTAACCATTTCATTATGTATGAGGTCAATTTTTTTTTTATTGGAGTTAAAATTAACGTAGATATATGACCGAACCTAACCAACCCTACCTAACCTAACCTAACCTATCTTTATAGGTTAGGTTAGGTTAGGTAGCCAAAAAAGTTAGGTTAGGTTAGGTTAGGTAGGTTAGGTCGTCGAAAAACAATTAATTTATGAAAAGTTGGCTTATTAGGCAAATCGGGCCTTGCATAGTAGGCTGAGAAGTGCGTTCTGGCTACTAGGTACGACATATATATATATATATATATATATATATATATATATATATATATATATATATATATATATATATATATATATATATATATATATATATATATATATATATGTGCGGAAAATCCACAGAGAAATATGAAATGAGGTGAACGTTTCGGCTTTGTTAAAGCCTTTGTCAACACCAGACTGACTCACAGACTGACTGACTGACTGACTGATATATATATATATATATATATATATATATATATATATATATATATATATATATATATATATATATATATTATATTTATTTATTTATTTTACTTTTTGTACAATTTACTTACAATAAAACTTGTGTATGGAATTGGCTTCGACAACTTGCCCAACCGTTCCTCATATTTATGACTGTTACACTGAAAAGTTCTTTCTGGCATCACTGTGACTCATCTGTGTCTCCAGTTTTCAATCGTGTTCTCTCGTTCCTTAATTTGGACATTGCTTTTATATCTGCTTTGTCAATCCTCCTTTAATATCTTATATGTCGTTATCATGTCTGCTCTATTTCATTCTTTCTTCCAGTGTAGCGAGGTCCAGTTTCCTCGGTCTTTCCTCATAGCTCAGTCCCCTCACCTCAGGGACGAGTCCGGTGCAGCATACCCTGGTTGATAGCTGGTTGACCCGATAACAGCTCTGACAAAGGCTGTATACAGCGCTCGGAAGGGAACTGTCTCCAAGTTGGTGAAGGATAACAGGACGTTAGTCAGTATGGCATTTACCGCCCTCGTTATCCTGCTGATGTCTGCCTCTGGTGTTATCCTGCTGATGTGTGCCGCTGGTGTTATCCTGCTGATGTCTGCCGCTGGAGTTATCCTGCTGATGTGTGCCGCTGGTGTTATCCTGCTGATGTCTGCCACTGGTGTTATCCTGCTGATGTCTGCCGCTGGTGTTATCCTGCTGATGTCTGCCTCTGGTGTTATCCTGCTGATGTCTGCCACTGGTGTTATCCTGCTGATGTCTGCCACTGGTGTTATCCTGCTGATGTCTGCCACTGGTGTTATCCTGCTGATGTCTGCCACTGGTGTTATCCTGCTGATGTCTGTCGCTGATATTATCCTGCTGATGTCTGCCACTGGTGTTATCCTGCTGATGTCTGCCTCTGGTGTTATCCTGCTGATGTCTGCCGCTGGTGTTATCCTGCTGATGTGTGCCGCTGGTGTTATCCTGCTGATGTCTGCCACTGGTGTTATCCTGCTGATGTCTGCCGCTGGTGTTATCCTGCTGATGTCTGCCTCTGGTGTTATCCTGCTGATGTCTGCCACTGGTGTTATCCTGCTGATGTCTGCCACTGGTGTTATCCTGCTGATGTCTGCCACTGGTGTTATCCTGCTGATGTGTGCCGCTGATGTTATCCTGCTGATGTCTGCCGCTGGTGTTATCCTGCTGATGTCTGCCTCTGGTGTTATCCTGCTGATGTCTGCCACTGGTGTTATCCTGCTGATGTCTGCCACTGGTGTTATCCTGCTGATGTCTGCCACTGGTGTTATCCTGCTGATGTCTGCCTCTGGTGTTATCCTGCTGATGTCTGCCGCTGGTGTTATCCTGCTGATGTCTGCCTCTGGTGTTATCCTGCTGATGTCTGCCACTGGTGTTATCCTGCTGATGTCTGCCGCTGGTGTTATCCAGCTGATGTCTGCCTCTGGTGTTATCCTGCTGATGTGTGCCGCTGGTGTTATCCTGCTGATGTCTGCCGCTGGTGTTATCCAGCTGATGTCTGCCTCTGGTGTTATCCTGCTGATGTCTGCCGCTGATGTTATCCTGCTGATGTCTGCGCTGGTGTTATCCTGCTGATGTCTGCCGCTGATGTTATCCTGATGTCTGCCGCTGGTGTTATCCTGCTGATGTCTGCCTCTGGTGTTATCCTGCTGATGTCTGCCGCTGGTGTTATCCTGCTGATGTCTGCCTCTGGTGTTATCCTGCTGATGTCTGCCTCTGGTGTTATCCTGCTGATGTCTGCCTCTGGTGTTATCCTGCTGATGTCTGCCGCTGGTGTTATCCTGATGTCTGCCGCTGATGTTATCCTGATGTCTGCCACTGGTGTTATCCTGCTGATGTCTGCCACTGGTGTTATCCTGCTGATGTCTGCCGCTGGTGTTATCCTGCTGATGTCTGCCTCTGGTGTTATCCTGCTGATGTCTGCCGCTGATGTTATCCTGATGTCTGCCGCTGGTGTTATCCTGCTGATGTCTGCCGCTGGTGTTATCCTGCTGATGTCTGCCTCTGGTGTTATCCTGCTGATGTCTGCCGCTGATGTTATCCTGATGTCTGCCACTGGTGTTATCCTGCTGATGTCTGCCACTGGTGTTATCCTGCTGATGTCTGCCTCTGGTGTTATCCTGCTGATGTCTGCCGCTGGTGTTATCCTGCTGATGTCTGCCTCTGGTGTTATCCTGCTGATGTCTGCCACTGGTGTTATCCTGCTGATGTCTGCCGCTGGTGTTATCCAGCTGATGTCTGCCTCTGGTGTTATCCTGCTGATGTGTGCCGCTGGTGTTATCCTGCTGATGTCTGCCGCTGGTGTTATCCAGCTGATGTCTGCCTCTGGTGTTATCCTGCTGATGTCTGCCGCTGATGTTATCCTGCTGATGTCTGCCGCTGGTGTTATCCTGCTGATGTCTGCCGCTGATGTTATCCTGATGTCTGCCGCTGGTGTTATCCTGCTGATGTCTGCCACTGGTGTTATCCTGCTGATGTCTGCCGCTGGTGTTATCCTGCTGATGTCTGCCTCTGGTGTTATCCTGCTGATGTCTGCCCCTGGTGTTATCCTGCTGATGTCTGCCTCTGGTGTTATCCTGCTGATGTCTGCCGCTGGTGTTATCCTGATGTCTGCCGCTGATGTTATCCTGATGTCTGCCACTGGTGTTATCCTGCTGATGTCTGCCACTGGTGTTATCCTGCTGATGTCTGCCGCTGGTGTTATCCTGCTGATGTCTGCCTCTGGTGTTATCCTGCTGATGTCTGCCGCTGATGTTATCCTGATGTCTGCCGCTGGTGTTATCCTGCTGATGTCTGCCGCTGGTGTTATCCTGCTGATGTCTGCCTCTGGTGTTATCCTGCAGATGTCTGCCGCTGATGTTATCCTGATGTCTGTCACTGGTGTTATCCTGCTGATGTCTGCCGCTGATGTTATCCTGATGTCTGCCACTGGTGTTATCCTGCTGATGTCTGCCGCTGATGTTATCCTGATGTCTGCCACTGGTGTTATCCTGCTGATGTCTGCCGCTGATGTTATCCTGATGTCTGCCGCTGGTGTTATCCTGCTGATGTCTGCCTCTGGTGTTATCCTGCTGATGTCTGCCTCTGGTGTTATCCTGCTGATGTCTGCCGCTGGTGTTATCCTGCTGATGTCTGCCGCTGGTGTTATCCTGCTGATGTCTGCCGCTGGTGTTATCCTGCTGATGTCTGCCTCTGGTGTTATC